GACTTGTGGATTTCAACTCCCAGAATTCCTGAGCCATCCATGTTGACTCAGGAATTCTGGGAGCTGAAGTCCACAAGTCACAAAGGGGCCATCGTTCCCCACCTCCGATAGTTTTTGAAATCATGTCCGCGTCTGAAACCTGAGAGAAGGCCATTCAATATTTGCCATGATTCATCAAGAGTTGTGCTCTCTTGTGTGGAGAAGAGACAAAGGCAGGCACAGACATTTATTAAAGGTAAAGGTTCCCCTTGCACATATGTGCTAGTCATTCCCGACTCTAGTTGGCGGTGCTCATCTCCCTTTCAAAGCCAAAGAGCCAGCGCTGTCCGAATATGTCTCCGTGGTCATGTGGCCAGCATGACTAAATGCCAAAGGCACACAGAACGCTGTTACCTTCCCACCAAAGGTGGTCCCTATTTTTCTACTTGCATTTTTTACGTGCTTTCGAACTGCTAGGTTGGCAGAAGCTGGGACAAGTAATGGGAGTTCACTCCATTACACGGTACTAGGGATTCGAACCGCTGAACTGCCAATCTTTCGATCGACAAGCTCAGCATCTTAGCAACTGAGCCACCGGGTCCCTTTAGACATCAATTATATCACCATAAATTTTCTGATGCTTTATGAAGGAATCTGCAAAACGTTGGGATTAAGGTGACGTAACAAGTTTAGTTAATAGCTGGGATGCTATTGATGTAAAATATCTTGATCGCGGAAAAAAAATTCACAAATGGCTTCATACCATCCTGATTAGCAAGCTGGTTGAAAGAGGGCTGTTTGACAGAAAGATTATCTAGCTCCAGAGCATTCTTTAACGTGAATCTGAAGACTGCATTTTAGTCTTTCGGTTAATTATCGACTTCGGTTAATTATCACCAATGGCTGGTGTTGGAAGAAATGTCCATCTGGATTCGGTTCCAAGTGAGGAAGAAAGAGACTGGAAACATGGAGACTGCTTGGAAAGATGGTTTTTAATGGTGGACAAGATAATTGCCCATTAGGTCTTTGGTAGAGTGTTCAAAGAAGATAAAGGTGGGTGTTTACCAGCCTTCTCCGAAGGATTATGGCAGACTTCTGTTGGACTATTTATAAACTCTTGGTGATTCAACACGTGCTGTGAATGAAAGGAATTCACAGACGTCAAAATAAAAAAAGGGGGTTTGGGGACTAATTGTGTGCTTTTTACTTTATCAGGAAGCCTAGGTCACAACAAGCACCATAGAGAATAGTGCCCTGAGAATAGTGGACAATGTCCTTAAAAGAGAACTTACATCTCCAATTCTTTCCCTTTGGAAAAAGGAAAACATTGTAGCCAAAATGGCCTTCTTTTTCCCCCCATTATGTGCATTTGTGTTTGTATACACATTTATGCATTGCTTGGAGATTTTGTAATGTGAGGTTAATACCAGGGGTGAAATCCAGCAGGTTCTGACAGGTTCTGAAGAACTTAATGTAATGAAGCGGGCTCTGATGGATGACCACTGGATAACTTTCTATTCACTCTATTCTAAAAAGCAATGCATCCGGTTGGAAAAAGTACAAACTCAGCCAAAATCCTTTTGGTTCCTCTAGGAGGCCTCTAAGTTGTCAGAAGAAAGGAACATTCTAATAACATACAGCTTAAAGGTTGGTTAGGTCAAGGGGATCCACATGAGTTAAAAGTTGTCCATCGTCAAAAGATAAAAGATATGCTTCAGTAATCTACAAAAAGAATTATGACTGTTTTGCAAAGAAACTCTGTAATGTCAATTAAAATTGATAAATGTATATGACCATATGAATTGCTGACTTCAAAAGAATCCTTTGTCTAGAAGGGTATAAAACCATTGTACCTAATTCCTGTCTTTGTTCAACGCTTCATGTACAGAGCCTTGAACCTATTGCGCAATATATATATAAAATCTGTCTCTGATTAATCTAAAAGTTGTGTTTGTCTTATTAAATCCACAACAAACTGGTAACGGAAATTTTGAGTAGTTCAGAGAACTGGCAAATACCACCTCTGGCTGGTCCCAGAGTGGGGTGGGAATGGAGATTTTGTAACATCCTTCTCCCAGGAGTGGGGAGGGAATGGGGATTTTGCAATATATTTCCACCAAGAGTGGGGAGGGAATGGGGATTTTACAGTATCCTTCACCTGGGGTGGGGTGGAAATGGAGATTTTGCAGTATCCTTCCCCTGCCATGGCCACCAAGCCACACCATGCCCACAGAACCGGTAGTTTCAAAAAAATGAATTTCACCACTGGTTAATACTATAAATTTGCAAACCTATGTGGCCTCTAAGAGTAGACAACGACTTAATCAATCAGAGTGGAAGGGATTTTGGAGGTTTTCTAATCCAGCCCTCTGCTCAAGCAGGTCACCCTATATACTACTTCAAACAAATAGTTATCCAATCTCTTCTTCAAAACCTCCAGTGTTGGAGAATTCACAACTTCCGAAGGCCAGCTGTTCCACTGGTTAATTGTTCTCACTGTTAGGAAGTTTCTCCTTAATTCCAGGTTGCTTCTCTCCTTGATTTGTTTCCATCCATTGTTTCTTGTCCTGCCTTCAGGTGCTTTGGAAAATAAGTTGACCCCCCTAAAGTAGGAAAAGCGGGTCCAGCTAGATGATCACTGAAGGGCCCTCTTTGTTCATAGTATTGTAGAAGAGAAATTGTGCTTGCAAATGTATCCAGTTGAAATAAAAGGCAGACACATTCCTTCTTTGATGTAGAACCAGTGAGGAGAGGCCCCTCAGTTGTCGGAGATACAAGCATTTTGGGTGATTTACACTTTAAAGGTCAGAGAGACAAGGATGACCATATTGTTGTATCAACAAGAGATAATTTGAATCTATGCTTCAGTAATCTACATGAAGAATTATGAATGTTGGCAGAGAATAAAATGCAACAGAAATTAGGAAGGGTCAATTAAAAATGACAAATGTATATGACCATATGAATTGCTGAGTTAACAGAATCCTTTGTTTGAAAATGTATAAAGACTGAGGTCTCCATTTTATATTTTGCTCAGACTCTTTAGGTAGCAATACCTGTCTGAACCTTATTGCAATAATAAAGCTGACTCTGTCTGCCCAAAGGGATGTCTCTTAATTCCTTCCTTCCATAACACCCCCACCCCCCACCCCACTTTGTGGCAGTCCCTGAGATATTGGAAGACTGCTATCATGTCCCCCTTACTCCTTCTTTTCTCTAGACTGGCCATACCGAATTCCTGCGACCATTCTTCATAGGTTTTAGTCAGAGTTGGGTTTCAGCAGGTTCTGACCAGTTCTGGAGAACCGGTAGCAGAAATTCTGACTGGCCCCGCCCCCATCTATTCTCTGCCTCCCAAATCCCAGCTGATCTTGAGGAAATGGGGATTTTGCGGTATCCTTCCCCTGGGTTGGGGAGGGCATGGAGATTTTGCAGTATCCTTCCCCGGGATTGGGGAGGGAATAGAGATTTTACAGTATCCTTCCCCTGGAGTGGGGTGGGATTGGAGATTTTGCAGTATCCTTCCCCGGGATTGGTGAGGGAATGGAGATTTTGCAGTATCCTTCCCCTGGAGTGGGGTGGGAATGGAGATTTTACAGTATCCTTCTCCTGGAGTGGGGAGGGAATGGAGATTTTGCAGTATCCTTCCCCGGGATTGGGGAGGGAATGGAGATTTTGCAGTATCCTTCCCCTGGAGTGGGGTGGGAATGGAGATTTTGCAGCATCCTTCCCCTGGAGTGGGGTGGGAATGGAGATTTTACAGTATCCTTCCCCGGGATTGGGGAGGGAATGGAGATTTTGCAGTATCCTTCCCCTGGATTGGGGAGGGAATGGAGATTTTGCAGTATTCCTGCCCGGGATTGGGGAGGGAATAGAGATTTTGCAGTATCCTTCCCCTGGAGTGGGAAGGGAATGGAGATTTTGCAGTATCCTTCCCCTGGATTGGGGAGGGAATGGAGATTTTGCAGTATCCTTCCCCGGGATTGGGGAGGGAATGGAGATTTTACAGTATCCTTCCCCGGGATTGGGGAGGGAATGGAGATTTTGCAGTATCCTTCCCCGGGATTGGGGAGGGAATGGAGATTTTGCAGTATCCTTCCCTGGGATTGGGGAGGGAATGGAGATTTTGCAGTATCCTTCCCCTGGTTTGGGGAGGGAATGGAGATTTTGCAGTATCCTCCCCCTGGATTTGGGAGGGAATGGAGATTTTGCAATATCCTTCCCCGGGATTGGGGAGGGAATAGAGATTTTATAGTATCCTTCTCCTGGAGTGGGGTGGAAATGGAGATTTTACAGTATCCTTCCCCGGGATTGGGGAGGGAATAGAGATTTTATAGTATCCTTCTCCTGGAGTGGGGTGGAAATGGAGATTTTACAGTATCCTTCCCCGGGATTGGGGAGGGAATAGAGATTTTATAGTATCCTTCTCCTGGAGTGGGGTGGGAAGAGAGATTTTACAGTATCCTTCCCCGGGATTGGGGAGGGAATAGAGATTTTATAGTATCCTTCCCCTGGAGTGGGGTGGGAATGGAGATTTTACAGTATCCTTCCCCGGGATTGGGGAGGGAATAGAGATTTTATAGTATCCTTCTCCTGGAGTGGGGTGGGAATGGAGATTTTACAGTATCCTTCCCCGGGATTGGGGAGGGAATAGAGATTTTATAGTATCCTTCTCCTGGAGTGGGGTGGGAATGGAGATTTTACAGTATCCTTCCCCGGGATTGGGGAGGGAATGGAGATTTTGCAGTATCCTTCCCCTGCCACACCCACCAAACCACACCCACCAAGCTATGCCATGCCCACCAGGCCACGCCCAGAGAACTGGTAGTAAAAAAATGTTGAAACAAAAAAATTGAATGATGGACCCGCCTTTACATTTATATACGATCCGAGACTTTGCTTCGACGATGCCTTAAACTAGGCTTAGCTCGGCGGGGGCTTCGAATGCTCGGCTCGGAAAGGGTTAAGGGCACCACAGACGTGAACGGCTAGAGCGGCTAGAGACCCTTCCAGTTTGCCTGCTGCTCTTCCGGGGTCGAGACGGGCCGCTCTTGCCTTCCGTCTCCTCTGCTGGTACCCAGGGGTTCGCGGGGCGGGGAGCCCCGGAGGGAGACTCCGACTCCGACTCCGACTCCGGACTTTTGCCCCACCCGCGATCGCTCTCAGGTACCCCCAGCCTTTCCTCCGGGGTTTCTCCAGCCGCTGATGGGAGACAAGCAAAGCGGGAACACTTGTGGCTCTCTGATAGATGCGTGTTGTGCCTTTGCACGTGGGAAGGGTCCTGGGTACACGCGTGTAAGCCCTTCCCCCCCCCCAAGATGTGTATCTGTATGGATCCCGGTTGGCTCTGCGGCTGGCATGGCACCCGATCTTGTTTGGGGATGATGGTTACTTTTTGCTGGGGGTGGGAGTGTGGGTGGGATCTCCTTATAAGGAAGAAGCTGTCCTTTCTGCGAAAGATCTATTTTCTGACAATCAGTCAATCAATCAATCAATCAATCAATCAGCAGAACTGGCTTGCCTCCAGAAGTGGTGGATGCTCCATCCCTGGAAGCTTTTAAGAAGAAAGGGGACAGCGACCGATCTGAAATTGTATGTATATATGTATGTGTGTGTGTGTGTGTATGTATGTATTTATTTATTTATTTATTTATTATTTTATTTTATTTATTAGTTTGATTTATATGCCACCCTCCTCCGGAGACTCAGGGCGGCTTACAATGCATTAAGCAATAGCGTTCATACTTTTGTATATACCTGCTTAGTAGGGCTTTCGCCCCCCCCAAGCAGTGTTTTTATTTATTTATTTATTTATTTATTTATTTATTAGTTTAGTTTAGTTTAGTTTAGTTTAGTTTAGTTTAGTTTAGTTTAGTTTAGTTTAGTTATTATTTTATTTATTTATTTATTTATTTATTAGTTTGATTTATATGCCGCCCTTCTCCGGAGACTCAGGGCGGCTTACAATGCGTTAAGCAATAGCCTTCATACTTTTGTATATACCTGGTTAGTACGGCTTTTGCCCCCTCCTAAGCAGTGTTTTTATTTATTTATTTATTTATTTATTTATTTATTTATTTATTAGTTTAGTTTAGTTTAGTTTAGTTTAGTTTAGTTTAGTTTAGTTTATTATTTTATTTATTTATTTATTAGTTTGATTTATATGCCACCCTCCTCCGTAGACTCAGGGCGGCTTACAATGCGTTAAGCAATAGCCTTCATACTTTTGTATATACCTGCTTAGTAGGGCTTTTGCCCCCCCCCAGCAGTGTTTTTTTTTAATTATTTATTTATTTATTTATTTATTTATTTATTTATTTTGTTATTTTGTTATTTTATTTATTTATTTATTTATTAGTTTGATTTATATGCCACCCTCCTCTGGAGACTCAGGGCGGCTTACAATGCATTAAGCAATAGCCTTCATACTTTTGTATATACCTGCTTAGTAGGGCTTTTGGCCCCCCCTAAGCAGTGTGTGTGTGTGTGTATGTATGTATGTATGTGTGTATGTATGTATTTATTTGTTTGTTTATTTGTTTATTTGATTGATTGATTGATTTATATGCCGCCCTTCTCCGGAGACTCAGAACGGCTTACAATGCGTTAACCAATAGCCTTCATACTTTTGTATATACCTGCTTAGTAGGGCTTTCGCCCCCCTCCCCCCGAAACGGTGTTCTTTTTTATACAAAGTCAGCTTATTGCCCCCACAATCCGGGTCCTCATTTTACCTACCTCGAAAGGATGGAAGGCTGAGTCAACCTTGAGCCTGGTGAGATTTGAACTTGCAGTAATTGCAGGCAGCTGGTGCTACTTAACAGCACTTTAGTCTGCTGCGCCACCAAGGCTCAGAATTCCTGAGACAGATTGGCTGTCTCAGGAATTCTGGGAGTTGAAGTCCACAGGTTGTAAAAGGTCACATTTGCCCACCCCTGATATAGGGCAATGATGGCTTACCTTTTCCGGACCGAGTGCCCAAAGTGCGCATAAACTCCCAAAATGCAATGCGTGCATGGCCCCGCGCATGTGCCCCGCTCCCCATGCATGCGTACACAGCACCCCCACATGCACCAAACCCCACACACACACCACGCCCATACGCAGCAGAGACCTGGCTGGCAGGAGGCGCGTGCATATGCACAGCAGACCTGAACTAGGGCGATGGCTCATGTGCCATCAGAGAGAGCGCTGTGTGCCACCTCTGGTACCCGAGCCATAGGTTCGCCATCACGGGAATAGGGTCTCCTGCCTGGGCAGAAGGTTGGACTAGAAGATCTTGCTCAATAGTAGTAACTGTGAGAGGGATCTTGGAGTCCTAGTGGACAACCATTTAAATATTTATTTATTTATTTATTTATTGAATTTGTATACCGCCCCTCTCCCAAAAGGGACTCAGGGCGGTGGACAGCCAAAATTAAAATACATACAATACAAAAGTTAAGATAGCTAAAATAAATTAAATCAATCAGCCTCCCAATTTAAAACCCCAAGTCTACAAAATTTAAAAAATCCCATTAAAAAACCATTTAGGCTAGGCCAGCTTGCTGGAATAAATAAGTCTTCAGGGTCTTATTACGGAAAGTACGGAGGTCTGGGATCAGTCGTATTCCAGGAGGTAGCTCATTCCACAGGGCGGGTGCCCCCACAAATATGGGTCAGCAGTGTACTGCAGCTGCCAAAAAAGCCAACACAGTTCTAGGCTGCATTAACAGAGGGATAGAATGAAGATCACGCGAAGTGTTAGTACCACTTTATAATGCCTTGGTAAGGCCACACTTGGAATACTGCATCCAATTTTAGTCGCCACGACGTAAAAAAAAGATGTTGAGACTCTAGAAAGAGTGCAGAGAAGAGCAACAAAAATGATTAGGGGACTGGAAGCTAAAACATATAAAGAACAGTGCTGGAACTGGGTATGTCCAGTTTGATGAAAAGAAGGACTATCATGCTGACATGATAGGACTATCATGCTGACATGATAGCAATGTTCCAATATCTCAGGGGTTGCCACAGAGAGGAGGGAGTCAAGCTATTCTCCAAAGCACCTGAGGGCAGGACAAGAAGCAATGGATGGAAACTAATCTAGGAGAGAAGCAAAGAGAAGCAACCTAGAACGAAGGAGAAATTTCCTGACAGTTAGAACAATTCATCAGTGGAACAACTTGCCTCCAGAAGTTGTAGATGCTCCAACACTGGAAGTTTTTAAGAAGATGTTGGATAACCACTTCTCTGAAGTGGTGTATGGTTTCCTGCCTAAGCAGGGGGTTGGACTAGAAGACCTCCAAGATCCCTTCCAACTCTGTTATTCTATTCTTAACCTCCAAGGTCCCTTTGAGCTCTACTCTGATTGATTGATTCAGTGACATGACAGCGATATTCCAGTATTTGAGGGACTGGAGGGGGTCAACTTAGTTACTTAAAACAGATAATACACAGAAGCTCACAGAAAAAGGAGCTGCTTGCTCACGAAGTGAGGAATTTCAGCTCCCTCTTGTTAATCTGTAAGTGATTCTAATGACTTTTTTTTTTGGCGATGTTCTTCAAACTTGGCAACTTTGTGTGGATTTCAACTCCCAGAATTTCCCAGCCAACATGGGGAGTTCTGGGAGGTAAAGTCCACCTATCTTGAAGTTGGCTCATGGTCAAATAAGGAGTGATGTGTTTTAATTCACGTGAAGTATGAAACAAGTATTTTTTTTTTTAATTTGATTTATATGCCGCCCTTCTCCGGGGACTCAGGGCGGCTTACAGTGCGTTAAGCAATAGCCTTCATACTTTTGTATATTTTTATACAAAGTCAGCTTATTGCCCCCACAAACTGGGTCCTCATTTCACCTACCTTAGAAAGGATGGAAGGCTGAGTCAACCTTGAGCCTGGCGAGATTCGATCTTACTTTAATTGCAGACAGCTGGTATTAAATTACAGTACTTAGTCTGTTGAGCTATCCAGGCTTCTGGATAAGGAGCCTGGATAGTTCTTAAGATAAGGCAGGCAGTGAGTAACCTGGGTCTCTTCGTTCTCTCATAGGCAAATCGAGCAATGCTGGAAATGTCTCCTCAGCCGCTTGTCCTTTTCCATGGAGAGAAAACAGCTGATGTACAACTGGATTGGGTAGGACAAATAAAGAGGAATAACATGCTGGGGACTGTGGTGATTAGAAATTAGAACTCTCATTAGAATTGTCAGTTTATAACTCGCAGGGAGAAGAAAACTGAGGAGAGGAAGGTCTCGGGGAAATCTCAGACTCCGAGCTCTAGGAAAATCTCCCTTTGTCAGAATGGCAGGTTTATAATTATATTATTGTATATTATAATAATCAATTATTATATTATATAATCAATTATATTGAATAGCAAGAGCACTTAGACTTATATACAGCTTCACAGTGCTTTATAGCCCTCTCCAAACAGTTTACAGAGTCAGCCTATTGCCCCCCAAAATCTGGGTCCTCATTTTATTGACCTCAGAAGGATGGAAGGCTGAATCAACCTTGAGCCAGTCAGGATCGAACTGCAGACTGGGCAGAGTTAGAGCCTTGCAAGACTCCATTCTAACCACTGCGCCACTATGGCTTTAAGGGATGTTAAGGGTAACAAAGAGTCTCTGGATCGATTGAAAGATTTAGATCTGTTGGTGATGTGTTTGGTATTATTTAATCAAAGTTAACTTGATTCCTTGTTAACGGTGTCATCAGTGTCCTAAATTTCATCTCCGCTCCATCATATTAGCTCTAAAATAGGTGTAAAGAAATGAATTTCCAAATTGGAAAAAGAGTTGGTGGTGCTAGCAAAACCAGTAGATCCTTTAAAGATAATCCTTTGGTTAAGGGGAGTCCTCTTTGAGAAAGAAAGAAAGAGAGAGAGAAAGAAAGAAAGAGAAAGAGAGAAAGAAAGAAAGGAGAAAGAAAGAAAGGAGAGAGAAAGAGAGAGAGAGAAAGAAAGGAGAGAGAGAGAGAAAGAGAGAGAGAGAGAGAGAGGGTAAAGACCCCCAGATCAATGATTTTCTGTGACTCGACTTTCATCTTGTTGGCCTCGCTGAGTGTGAATGAATCTTTTTTCTGTATTGCTTCTACCAAAGCATCTGCAAGTTAGGCTGTAATGATCATTCAAGTATGTGAAAATCCTGAAGTTAAAACCCAGTTGGCTTTGCATCTAAAGAGTAGGAATCTCTGAGCAAGGAAGGTTTCCTCCACCACCATCTCCTCCTCCCCCTCCCCCTCCCCCTCCTCCTCCTCCCTGTAAGGAAACATATTGTCCTTCTTTCAGAGGCTCTTCACCTTGGAGGACGTGGCCGTGCATTTCACTGAGCACGAGTGGGCACTGCTGGAGCCTGACCAGAAGGCGCTGTACAGAGAAGTCATGGAGGAGATCAGTGGGATTTTGGCAACTCTTGGTAAGGCAGCTTCTTTCCCCAGAAACAGATGCCAATAGACATTTTTGGCTGTTTACCTATGAGCAGCATTTCACCACTTCAGATCCTTCATCTCATTTAGCTATTCATGAAAAGACACAAATTCCTTGTGTGTCCAATTGTAGAATAAAGAATTCTATTCTTATTTTTAATTCTTAATCTATTCTATTTCTTATTCTATTCTATTTCTATTCTATTTCTATTCTATTTCTATTCTATTTCTATTCTGTCAGAGTTTCTTGCAAAAATCAAATCCAGAAGCACACACAGATAAACTGATGCAGCAGGATTCATTAACTTCTTTATATTCATAATAACACATGAAGTATATTTACAATACCAACAGTTGATTCCTCAGCTCAGATCAGCAGCCATGTTCACACACACACATAGAATACAGAAGAGAGCTTAACACACACACTGGTTTCAGTTTCAATTCTCTGCACAGAATCAGAAGCTGCAGACTAAGACACGCCCTGGCTCCAGTCTGTCTCAGCTCCCAAATGGCTGATTTAGTTGCTATGCCTGTTCATTGGCTGACCTTGTTACCATGTCTTCCCAGCCATGAATATTCTGACATATTCTAATTCTATTCTATTCTATTCTATTCTATTCTATTCTATTCCACACCACATCACACCAATACCATTCTTGTATTCTATTCTGTTATTTTCCTTACTAAATATCTCTAACAATTCGTTTTGGTTCCCCATTGGTTGCAAGATTATAAAACTCTAATGTAACAAATGTAACAAATCAGCAGCATCTGAAGCAGCACAATACAAAATGGAGTATTACAGTGTGATTAATCCAGTATGGATAGCTATAAAATGTCTTGTTGATTAAAGACCTTGGGTTCCCCATAGTTACCAAGTGGCTCTTCTAAAGACTAGAATTAAAGTAAAAAACAAGGTTTCTTACACCTCTTACAGTGAAACATAAGTACCAAGATCTAATTCAGGTTTAGGTTAGTCATCCTAGGGACTAGATTCTTCAGAATCCTTTGCAATTTAACCCCCTGCTCCAGCATTTTCATATAGGTATCCTGAAAGACCAGACCAGCTGTTTTGGAAATGGGCGTAACTTGAGGAATTGTACCTCGCAGATCATAAGCCCTGTTTAGCTCTTCAAAAACCATTTTTGCTGAATATTATCTGCATACATACACCCCACAATAAAACCGTAGGTGGTCCTCAACTTACAACAGTTCATTTAGTGACCAAAGTCACAATAATTTTCTTTGGAGAATAGCTTTGAACCCCCTCTTCTTTGTGGCAGCTCCTTAAATATTGGAATATTGCTATCATGCCACCCCTAGTCCTTCTTTTCGCTAGCCATATCCAGTTCCTGTAACCGTTCTTCATATGTTTTAGTCCCCAGGTCTTTTACTCATCTTAATTGCTCTTCCCTGCACTTTTTCCAGAGTCTCAAACATCTTTTTTGTAATGTGGTGGCCTAAACCCTCTGGAATCAGCTGCCCCCAGAGATAAGGAGAATTCAAGACCTCGGTGCCTTCCGTCGTGCCCTTAAAACTTTCTTTTTCCAGCAAGCCGGGCTGGCTTAACATAACATTTTTTAAAAACATTTTTAACTGGTTTGTCATTTTAAATTGGGGCCAAATTAATATATATCCTTTTAATTGTTTTTAATGTTTGTATTGTATGTTTTTAGCTGGCTGTACACCGCCCTGAGTCCCTCGGGAGAAGGTGCGGTATATAAATTTGAAATAATTTATAGTAGCCTTGGCAGTACAGTGGTCTAAGGCACCCTGTTATTAAGATGGTTATTAAGACCAGCTGTCTGCAATTACTGCAGGTTCGAATCTCCCCAAGGCTCAAGGTTGACTCAGCCTTCCATCCTTTCTAAGGTAGGTTAAATGAGGACCCAGTTGTGGGGGCAATAAGCTGACTTTGTATAAATATACAAAAGGATGAAGGCTATTGCTGAGCACATTGTAAGCCGCCCTGAGTCTCCGGAGAAGGGCGGCATATAAATCAAAATAAATAAATAAATAATAAATTAAACAGGATGCAGTATTCCAGGTGTGGCCTTACTAAGGCTTTATAAAGTGGTAGTAATACTTCCCGTGATTTTGTTTCTTTGCCTTTCAGAAGGTGATAAAAGAGAAATCGAGGCTGACGGGGAATCGCCGACCAATCAAACCTACAAATACTTAATTTGTGGAAATGGCTTCCGTCAGAAGGCGGAACTAAACAGCCATCAAGTAACTCACGTAGGGAAGAGACCCTATCAATGCTTCGCATGCGGAAAGTGCTTCAATCGGAACGGCAATCTCGCCATACATCAGAGGACCCACACGGGGGAGAGGCCCTATGAGTGCGTGGACTGTGGAAAGTGCTTCAGCTCCAAAACCCACCTGAACGCCCACCAGAGAACTCACACGGGCGAGAGACCATACAAATGCGCAGCTTGCGGGAAGCGCTTCACTTCGAAGTCGCATCTGACCATGCATCAACGAACTCACACGGGGGAGAGACCATACAAATGCATGGAGTGCGCCAAGAGCTTTGTTTCGAACTCGCAGCTGACGAGGCATCGGAGAACCCACGTGCAGGATGGACCGCATCAGTGCCTGGAATGCGGGAAGGATTTCAGTTCAAAGCCGCACCTCAGCAGGCATCAGAGGGCGCATGCCCAAGGGGCTCCCTACGCCTGCGTGGAGTGTGGGAAAAGCTTCCTTTGCAACACGGGCCTGGTCATCCACAAAAGAAGCCACACCAGGGAGAAACCCCATAAATGCTTAGAGTGCGGGAAGTGTTTTGCTTGTAACACGGAACTCAGCATCCATGAGAGAACTCACACGGGGGAAAGGCCCTATAAATGCTTGGAGTGCGGGAAGTCTTTCAGCTCCAAGGCAAACTTAAATTCCCACGAAAGGATTCACACGGGGGAGAAACCCTACAGATGCCCAGAATGCGGGAAGTCCTTCAGTTCCAACACGCATCTCAGAATACATCGGAGGACCCACACGGGGGAGAGACCCTATCAATGCTCAGAGTGCGGAAGGAGGTTCACGGTGAGCAGCTCCCTGACTTCTCACTACCGAGTCCACACGGGGGAAAAACCCTACGAATGCCCGGAGTGCGGGAAATGCTTCGCTCACAGCTCCGAGCTGCTTACGCACAAAAAGATCCACAGGGGAGAGAAACCGCACTCGTGCTCGGAATGCGGCAAGGGTTTCATCACGCAGACTAACCTGAACACGCATCAGCGGACTCACACCGGGGAGAGGCCCTTTCACTGCGGGGAGTGCGGCAAGGGCTTCATCACAAAGGCCAATCTGAGAACCCATAAAAGGATCCACACAGGAGAGAGGCCGTTTCAATGCTTGGATTGTGGGAAGGGTTTCAGTCAGAGGATAAATCTCATTTCTCATCAGAGAATTCACACAGGGCAAACCGTAGAAATGCTAAACTAAAAAGGCTTCTTTTTTTAAGGCAGTATCTTGAAAACTACCATATTTTTTGCTCCCCCCTCCCCCCCAAAAGTAGGTGGAAATGTCTGTGCATCTTATGGAACGAATATTGCGTCACAGACCGGGCCGCAACGGTTTCCCATACTTGGGGGGGAGGAGATTGGTGCAGCGGCAGCAACAGGCAGCAGCAATCCCTGCCATCTGGAACAGCTGATTGGTGTTCGCTGCTGCTGCCTGTCGACGCCCCCACACCAACCCCCTCCCCCAGGTACACCACCATTGCTGCCTCCTCCGTCTCTGCTGCCTCCTCCAGGGAACACTGGAGCCTTTGCTGGAGCAGCGATGAATGGCAGCAGCAATCCCCGCCTCCTGGAACAGCTGCGGTTGGATCAGCCTCCTGGAATACTGCTGATCAGCTGTTCCAGGCGGCGGGGATCGCTGCCACCATTCACCACTGTTCCAGCAAAGGCTCCAGTGTTCCCCGGCGGAGGCAGCAGACATGGACAAGGCAGCAATGGCAGCATTTCCGGTTGGCCAGCCCGCTGACCAGCGGGGCTATGGGAGGCGGAGATCCAGCCGTCACTCAGCTGACCGGTGGTGGGCGCAACGGAGCAGAGCCCTGACGAGCCATGTGCTGGGGCTATGATAACATGCTGAAGCTGACTAGGCTGTTTGCTGTTTGCTGCAAGGGTGGCAGAGGCAGATTTTTTTTTCTTTTCCTCCTCTAAGCCTAGGTGCGTCTTATGGAGCGAAAACCTGATATTGTCAAAAGACTCATTGATGAAAATTTATTTTAAGAATGTATTAATGGGGGGGAGCGGCGGAGAGCGTTAGCAAAATCCAGAGAAATACCCACATGTGTGTTTGACCAAGCAAGGAAAAAAGTCACATTCTATCCAGAATTGAAGATGTTGGGGTTTTTTTTTGTTTAGAAGGACAGAAACAAATGTGTCAACAGATAAATTGGTTTCTAAGTCACATAGCAATAGCAATACTGATAGTCCTCGACTTACAACAGTTCATTTAGTGACCGTATGAAGTTACAATAGCAGTGGGAAAAATGACTTATTATAAATGACCGTTTTGCACATATCTGACCTTTGTAGCATCCCTGTGGTCACATGATCAAAATTCAGACACTCAGCAACTAACTCATATTTATGACAACTGTAGTGTCCTGGGGTCATGTCAGGGGTGAAATGCTCCCAGTTCAGACCGGATCACCCGATCCGGATGTGATGGCGGTAGGTGGTTCGGCGAACCGGTAGCAAAAATCCCTGCGTCCCCCCTCAATGGTGAAATCTAAAATTTGATACTACCAGTTCTGTGGGCGTGGCTTCGTGGCGGGGGTAATGTGACTGGGTGGGTGTGTGGCCAATTTTTATTTTTATTTTTACTTTTAAAACCATTTTTTCTACAACCTCTTCGGCGAAGAGGTTGTAAAAAAATGCTTTCAAAAGGCTCTGACGATCCCAGCTGAGTTGCCTGATTGGCAGAGACTTTTTTTTCTTTTAAATGCCTCTGACAATCAGGCAACTCAGCTGGGATCGTCAGAGGCATTTAAAAGAAAAAAAACCCTTTTTAACCGCCCACCAGCAACCGGGCAGAGAACCCCTTGCTAAAAATTTTAAAGCCCACCCCTGACTGGACTGTAGTGCAAATTTGAATAACACAACCATTTTGTGGGACTCGTTAACAACACTTAACAAATTACTTACTTGTATTCCAAAATGTTTTAATCTCCTCTTTTCAAATGGTGAACTAAATGCATGGCAGTGATCCAGCAAATGAAAGGCAAATTCCAACATGAAACAGGTAATTACAACTTAGAATTACTTTGAATTCCCTCTGATATATTAGTCTGGTTTAGTTGAGTCTAAAATATCCCAGTGGATTCTAAGAGAGTGATTGAATAGAGCCAGGTCATAAATAAAATTTAAATGATGTAAAAGTGTTGAGAAGCATAGAAAATTTTTTATGATACATGAATACACACACACATAGTATGTTGTCTACAATTAAAAGAGAAACCGTGGACATTTATAGAGGTTGCTTTTTTTCTGAGCCTTTTGCTTTTCAATAAGCTCTCCTGGAATTTAAAAGTTATTCCTCCTATCAACTATATTTTCAAATCTATCTGATTTCTTCCCTTGTTTCTTTCCAGTGCAGCAACCTCTCTACCAGTGCTGCTTTATCTATTCATCTATTTAAATTAGTGTTTTTCAAATACTACCTGGGGAATTCTGGGAGTTGAAGTTCACACATCTTAAAAATTGCCAAGTTTGAAAAACATAGTTCTAAATGATTTTGGTATAGATAGTTTCCTTTACACTAAAAATAGTGATTTGATTACTCTCCGCAGGTTTTCTGATGTCTTTATTTCCTGAAAACTGCTGAACTAGAAAAACAGAAATATTCCAAAATTCTCCAAAATGTTCCATCTCCAAGATTGGGATGTTTGAACAAACCTACTCTCTGTTTTATTTAGTTTAAAGCTGAGGTGGTCTTCAGCCGGTTCGGACTGGTCCGGGTGAAACGGTAGCTCCAACTATCAGTTGGCCCCGCCCAGTGGCCCCCGCTCTATCCTGTCCTTTATTTCCTGCTTTGTAATTCATCTCAATCGCGTGGCACAGCTGATTTCCCCCCCCCCCTCGCTGTTCTACTTACCGTTGCTGACTTGGAAGGTAAGCAGCTGAGCTTCTAAAGGCTCCATTTTCAGCGCTGCGCACAAGTGCCTTAAGCACACACCAGTGGTGAAATCCAATTTTTTTTACTACCTGTTCTGTGGGTGTGGCTTGGTGGGTGTGGTGTGGCTTGGTGGGCATGGCTTGGTGGGCGTTGCAGGGGAAGGATACTGCAAAATCTCCATTCCCACCCCCCTCGAGGGGAAAGATACTGTAAAATCCTCATTTCCTCTCCACTCCTGGGGAAAGGATATTGCAAAATCTCCATTCCCACCCCACTCTGGGGCCAGCCTCAAAATTTCCGCTACTGGTTCTCTGAACTACTCAAAATTTCCGCTACCGGTTCTCCAGAACCTGCTGGATTTCACCCCTGGCACACACCAAAGCGCGCACTCACTGAACCGGTGGTTAAACTGGCAGCATCCCACCACTGGTTTAAAGGAAGTAAAAATAAATGTCCGTCCTCTTTTCAGATACTAACTACATTGCTATATGATATTTCCTATAAGGGTTCTTTGATTAGGACTAAAAATAGTAAAATAATTATTTTATTTCTACATTCTATAGACCAGCAGCCCTCAACATTTCGGGTACCAGGGACCAGTTCTGTGGAGAGAGGTTTTTCCGCAGACCAGGTGTGGTGTGGTTTCGTGCACTGCCTGCATTCTGCATGTGGGCAGATGGGGCTTTGCTAATTTGCGCAGCCCAGGTTTTGGCCTGGAAGTTGGGGACCCCTGCTATAGCTATCTGCAAGGAGTATAAGTGTGAGATGCAGTGGCTCAGTGGCTAAGACACTGAGCTTGTCGATCGAAAGGTCGGCAGTTCAGCAATTCGAATCCCTAGTGCCACGTAACGGGGTGAGCTCCTGTTACTTGTCCCAACTTCTGCCAACCTAGCAGTTCGAAAGCATGTAAAAAATGCAAGTAGAAAAATAGGGACCACCTTTGGTGGGAAGGTAACAGTGTTCCGTGCGCCTTTGGTGTTTAGTCATGCCGGACACATGACCATGGAGATGTCTTCAGACAGCGCTGGTTCGTAGGCTTTGAAACGGAGATGAGCACCGCCCCCTAGAGTCGGGAACAACTAGCACATATGTGCGAGGGGAACCTTTACCTTTTACCTTTAAGGAGTATAAATCCTTCCATTCTCCAGCATCCTGTCAGCTGAAGAAGCTTCTTGGATGAGAAGCGAAACGTCTTCAAAGAAAAACCAGAAAGTCCAGTTGCCTCTTGAAAAATCACCTTTGGGACACCCTACTATAGACTGTTTTTCTGTATGTGGATGTATATTTGAAGTAAGATTGCTTTCAGCAAATACATAAACTACATGGATTTTTATAGTTTTTCTCCCCTGTAGAATGTTTTCTGGAAAATAGAATGGGTTCTTTTTGGCAAAACTATAATTTATTTCTTGTGGGGATTCTCCACATAAGGAAACTAGAAATAAGGAAGCTCTTTGTACATTCCTTTCGTTTGTAGCTTCCTTGTGATCAATCTTTTTATAGGAATTAAAGTGGCTGGAAGATGTAAATCCACATTCTGAAATGTATGATTACGATTAGTTAAATGATTTATAGCGCCACGCAATTTGTAAACAGCAATTCCAGGTAGCTCAAATGGAGCTGAAAACATAAGAGAACCAACAGTAAAGCACATCGCAATACAGGTAGCTCTCAACTCGCAACCATTTGTTTAATGACCGCTCAGAGTTACAATGGCACTGAAAAAAATCAGATACTCATCAACTGGCTCATATTTATGACAGTTGCAATATCCCAAGGTCATGTGATCACCTTTTGTGACCTGACAAGCAAAGTCAATGAAGAAGCCAGATTCACTTAACAAGCGTGTTACTAACTTAACAACTGCATTGATTCCCTTGACAACTGTGGCAAGAGTGTAAATGGTGCAAAATTCACTTAACAAATGTCTCATTTAGCAACAGATATCTGGGCCCCAATTGTGGTCGTAAGTTGAGGACTACCTGTATTGTTGTTGTTTCAATGATTTATAAAGCCACACAATTTGCAAACAGCAATTTCAAGTGGCTCAAAAAGGCTTGAAAACATAAGAGAACCAACAATATACACAATACAGCAGACCTGGGGAGGCCAACAATATATCCCAGTTCTAAAGTTATTCCATATTCAATATATTTATACATTTTCCCCCCTGGTGTGGGTCCTTTTATGAGACGTAAGTTGGCTGCTCTGTTTGAAACTCTTCCCACATTCCCAGCATTTATAGGGTTTCTCCCCTGTGTGGATCCTTTTGTGGGACGTAAGCTCACTACTCAACCTGAAGTTCTTCCCACATACTGCACATTGATAGGGTTTCTCTCCTGTGTGAAGCCTTTTGTGGGAAGTGAGGTGACTGCTTTGGCTGAAGATCTTCCCACACTCCGCGCATCGATAGGGTTTCTCCCCCGTATGGCTCCTTTTATGTGAAGTCAGGGAACTGCTGTTGCTGAAGCTCTTTTCACACACGGTGCATTTGTAGGGTTTTTCTCCCGTGTGCAGCCTTTTGTGGGAAGTAAGATGGCTGTTCTGGCTGAAGCTCTTCCCACAGTCTGCGCATTGATAGGGTTTCTCTCCCGTGTGGAGCCTTTTGTGGGAAGTAAGATGGCTGCTCTGGCTGAAGCTTTTCCCACAGTCTGGACATTGATAGGGTTTCTCCCCCGTGTGGAGCCTTTTATGCGACGTGAGAAAGCTGTTCTTCCCGAAGCTCTTCCCACAGTCGGTGCATTTATAGGGTTTCTCCGAGGAATGGCTCCTTTTATGAGAACACAGAGCGCTGCAGTCGCTGAAACGCTTCCCGCACTCCAGGCATTTGTAGGGCTTTTCCCCCGTGTGGATCCTTTTGTGGTAGGTAAGGGAACTGCTCCTGCTGAAGCTCTTTCCACACTCCAGGCATTTGTAGGGTTTCTCCCCTGTGTGAATCCTAATATGAGACGTAAGATCGCTGGTCCATCTGAAACTCTTTCCACACTCCATGCATTTATACGGTTTCTCCCCCGAGTGAATCCTGCCGTGGAAAGTAAGCAAACTCCTCATTCTGAAGCTCATTCCACACAGCTTACAGGTGTATGTGTTTTTTCTGGTGTGGGTCCTTTTGTGAGAAGCAAGTTGGCTGTTGGTGTGGAAACTCTTTTCGCACTCCAAGCATTTATGCGGTTTCTCCTCCGGGTGGCTCTTTTTATGATCAGTCAAGGATCGCTTTTCACTGAAGCTCTTTCCACACTCCACATAGGGGTATGTTTTTCCCTTGGGGTGGAACCTTTTATGGGAAGGAAGATCTCCCAAGTCTTTTCTAAGTTTCCTGTGTTTACCTGTTTTTTCTCCAGTGTGGATTTGTTGATCTAAAATTGGAAGGGAAAATTGGTTAAAATAGGTTCCATGTTTTGTGCATTCATACTGGCTACCTCTTACTGCAATGCCATACAGAAGGAGTCTCCAAATCCGGCAATTTTAAGACTTGTGGACTTTAACTCCCAAAATTCCTCAGCAGCAAAGCTAGAGGTAGTCGTCCACTTACAATCACTTGTTCAGTGGCTGTTCAAAATAGCAACAGCACTGGGGGGGGGGGATTACTCATGACCGCTCTTCGCACTTATGACTGCTGCAGCATCCCCACAGTCATGTGATCAAAATTCAGGTACTAGGCAGCTGGCATGTATTTATGATTATTGTAGCATCCCAAGGTCATGTGATCACCACTTGCAACCTTCCCAGCTGGCTTTCAACAAGCAAAGTCAATGTGGGAAGCTGGGATTTGCTTAACAACTGCATGACTCACTTAACAACTGCTCCACTTAGCAATGGAAATCCAGCTCCCAATTGCAGTCATAAATCAAGGACTACCTATTCAGGGGGAACAAATCCAATTTACCTTTGAGTATTTTTTTACATATGAGGCGGTTGTCCTTTTTCGTCCTTTCCCTATTCTCTTTGGTTAGGAAGAGTTCCTGGACTCCAGCACACCTACAACTTAATGATTTCTCCTCCCCAGGCTGTGAGTGGCTTTCCCGGTGTGTTTGAGACCTCCATTGAACCCCAAATATCTCTTTTCTCAGTTCAAGATGGATTGCTGGTGATGTCGCCATATCGGGTTCTTGGCAGTTCTCAATTTCTTTTTCATCTCCTGCTTGAGATAGAAAGAATAAAAAACTGAACCTTAAAGCTGGTGTGCCAGTTATGTGCTACTACAGGTTGTAAGTCACTTTCCCCAAGGCCTTATAATTGTGAGCCATTGTTAGGTGAATGGTCATAAAACAAGGATTACCTCAGGGATGGGTTTCACTTACCTTTGCTACCGGTTCGTTCACGTGTGCACCCCTTCTGTGCATGCACAGAAGCTTTTGCGCATGTGCAGAGCGTATTTGATGACATCCGGGCGGGTGGACAGAGCCTCCCGCCACCACTGCTACCGGTTCACCCGAACTGGGGTGAACCATTAGCAACCCACAACTGGATTACCTGTATAGCTTTCACATCATACCTTCCATGATCTGCTAGGAGGCTTGCAGGACAAATCTATACATTTCTACCCCAAAATAGGGACCATTCATGCCCCCAAGGGCCATTGGTGCCCCCAGTTAAAAAAAAAGGGGGGGGGGGAAACACTCAAGGAAGAGGAACAAAAATATATTTTCTCTGGCCAAAAGTTTGACAAAAAGACTTTAAATCGTAGGAAAAGTATACAAAAGGAACATTTAAACATAAGTAAACCATATGGATTTTAATAAATCCAGATTCAATCCGGGATATAATTCCTTAAATAAAAAAGATCAAATCTCAGAGGTGTGATAAAAGAAAAATCATTATTTGTAAAAAGGAAATTTTAGATATTTAAAGGAAATATTGATAACACTTCATTGAACAGAAGAATATTGTCAGGGAATTGTGCAGCAGCTGTCCAAATGAAGTGAGAGACGCTGACCCCAATTTGTAGTTTTCTATAAATCAATATATTTTACATCTCTATTTTACAGCAAACAAGATAGTCAGGCAAACAGGAGCATCGTGAGGTAAATCACAGAGCAAACAGAAGAAAAGGGCGGGGAAAAAGGGAAACTCCCCCTCCACATTCCTAGCAACCAATCATAGTGCAGATTGTCTCACCGGCTAACTCTCTTAACCAATCAACTACAACTGTGTGTTCTGGCTCAGTGTATAACCTCCACTGTTCCAGCAACTAAATTTAAACAGATAATTATATTTAAATACTCCGTTTAAACAGATATTCTCCTCCTTTGCTTAAAAATGTTGTTAGTATTTTGGGATAGATTTTTCCCCCCAATGTGTTTATTTTTTTTTTCTTTGATCATCCTGTAAATAAAGTTTAACTGCTTTATTTATAATGGAGATACAATTAAATAATCCAGGGGCAAGAAAGTGACTGTTTTCAAGCAAAACAAAGCTGCACGTTTAACATCATTACAGCCAGTCCTTGCTTAACAACGGTATTTGGAACCAAAAACTCCCATCACTAAATTGTAAAGCAAAATAATAATAATAATAATCACATGGCTGTAATGACTTATGAGGCAGTTTCAGCAGTTCCGGTTGCCATTGTTAAAATGACTGTCGCTTGGTCATTAAGCAGGAACTTCTCATGATCATAATTTGCGGCTTCCTGCCAGCTTCCCCATTGACTTTGCTTATGGGAAGGCGGCAGGGAAGGTCAGAAGGTCAGAAATGTGGACCAGTTACCAAGAGCTTAAATTGCGATCAAGGGACGACAGGCCAGAAGTCCCACTCATTCATTTTATATACATATGCATATCAGTGGTAGGTTCTAATCAGTTTTACCACCGGTTCGCATCGTGCATGCTCACACGTGCGCCAAATTTGCGCTTCGTGAAAGCGCATTGAGAAAAAAAACAGCTGAGGCATGGCAATCCCCTCTGCCGCGCCTTACAGCTGACCAAAAAACAAACGAAATAAAGGTAGGTATAGCGCGGGGGCGGGGAGGAAGGACCCAACTGACATTCAGAGCGAACCGGTTCGCTCTCCTATGAAGATTTCCACTATCAGCTCTCCCGAACCAGGGAGAACCGGTAACAACCCACCACTGATACATATACATATACATATACATATACCTTCTCTACCAGTTCACAAATGTGAGCGCGCACGCCAAATTCTGAATTCTACATTGAAAGCTTTGGCACAAAAAGCATCTTCCAGCTATCCCAAATGTGCTTTTCAAAAAGCAATTGGATTTTCTTGCTTTTTTTCCCCTTTGAAAACGCTTCACTTCTCATCCTAGAAGCAACTGAAGAAAATTCTTGGATAAGAAGCGAAATGTTTCAACAAAAAACACCCAGAAAGTTCAGCTGCTTTTTGAAAAGTACTTTTGGAACAACCGTGACTTGGATGATTGAGAATCTCTGTAGACAACTGACAGTTATTTGAATCCATAGCAAAGAATGGGCCCTTACCCAGAGTGTTCACATTTCTGGAATTCTCCAGCATAACTTCCCAGTGCAAGGCTTTTTGGGTGGAATCCAGCAGAGCCCACTCCTCCTCGGTGAAATTGACGGCCACTTCCTTCAAGGACATGAGACTCAGGGCAGGACGCTGAAATCAACATACATTAACAGACAGACTCCAAACCACCTTTAAGGGGTGGGGTGGAATAAGTTAAAAATTGTGACAATTTTTTTTTTTCATTTTATTAAATTTGTATACCGCCCTACTCCCGAAGGACTCAGGGTGGTGAACAGGCACGAAATAAAACACATAAATACAAAAGTTAAGACATGATTTAAACCCAATTAAATAATTTTTGCCAGAGACAATTTAAAACTCCCAATAATTTAAAACGAATTAAAATTTGAGTTTAAAAATTTAAAAGAAGGGGAAAAAATTAGGCTAGGCCGGCCTGCTGGAATAGGAGTGTCTTCAAAGCACGGCGGAAAGTGCGCAGATCCGGGATCCTCTGTATCTCCGGGGGGAGCTCGTTCCAGATAGTAGGTGCCCCCACAGAGAAGGCCCTCCCCCTAGGGGCCGCCAGTCGACATTGTTTGGCTGACGGCACCTGGAGGAGCCCCTCTCTATGAGAGCGTACCGGCCGGTGGGAGGCTGTTTGTGGTATAGGCGGTCCCATAAGTAGACAGGTCCTAAGCCATGGAGTGCTTTAAAGGTGGTAACTAAAACCTTGAAGCGCACCCGGAAGACCACCGGGAGCCAGTGCAGCTCGCGCAGGAGAGGTGTCACACGGGAGCGCCATGTTGCTCCCATAACCACCCGCGCACCCGCACTCTGCGCCAGTTGGAGCCTCCAGGTGCTCCTCAAGGGGAGCCCCATGTAGAGAGCATTACAATAGTCCAGGCAGGAGGTAACGAGGGCATGAGTGACTGTGTGTAGGGAGTCCCGATCCAGAAAGGGACGCAACTGGCGAATCAGGCGAACCTGATGAAAGATCCTCCCGGTCACGGAGGATGAGAATGAGATCTCATTCTCAAAATGAGATGAGGTGTGTTAAACAATGTGCTAATAGGATAAATGTAAAGGTTTTCCCTGTCCAATCGGGTTCAACTCTAGCGGCAGTGTTCATCTCCGTTTTTAGACAAGGGAGCTAGCATTGTCCAAAGACATTTTCCATGGCCATGTGGCCAGCTCATAACTATACGCCGAAGTGCACAGAACACTGTTACCTTCCCATCAAAGTGGTACCTATTTATCTACTCACATTTGCATCCTTTTGAACTGCTAGGTGGGTAGGAGCTAGAGCAAGTGACGGGAGCTCACCTGTCATATGTCGCTTGGGTCTTGAACCCAGGCTGTCAGCTTTTTTATATCTCGAAGGACCTCTCAAGGACTATGAATGTTAACATGCTTGTGAAGAAGGCACAGAAGAAGCTATCTATCTCAGCATCTACTTCTGTCCTACTATCACAGCACCATTGAGAGTGTCCTGACATACGGCATTCTTGCATGGTATGGGAGCAGCTCTGTAGCGGACAAAAACGCTCTACAGAGAATAATTAAAACTGTCCAGAATATCATCGGACTCCAGCTATCAGCCCTGGATGACATCTTTGAATCTTGCTGTTTGAGAAAGTTGCATAACATTCTCAGAGACTCTTCCCATCCTGCTTACAATCTTTTTGGACTATTGCCTTCGGGCAGAAGATACACTACCCAGGTTGGTCAGGACTCTTTGTGTTGGGATTGAAGTGCTAATTGAGGCTCCCACCAGAGAACCCAGAGACTGCTTGGGAATCACCTAAGGATGTGTGACCTGGAGCTTTGTCAGTAAATGCCATGTATTCCTGCCTTTCTAAATAAAAAGGGGATCAGAACAGGAGGTGAGTAACTCTGTGTTTGAAACCCAAGTGTTGCCTAAGGGCAGGGTTGAGCTCCTGTCCTTTGCTCCAGCTCCAGCCAGGGACCTGAAAGGAGCCCCCAACTTGGCATCCCTCAGGCAATGGTGATGTCACCAGCTAATACTTTCAACTTCAATGTGCCTCGGTGCTTCTGAAATGAATGTGATGCTATCAGGATATAAACAGAGCCCTATGTTGGTTACCTCTATTCCATAATGCCCATGATCAAGCTAAGGAGGTCCCACCGAGTCATAATTAAGAACAATTCCTGAAATGGGATTATTATACCGTTTTTATAAACCCTATACCCACAAATCATCTCGGCACATATCTTTTCTTGATACTTCCCTACCTGAACTGAGGGCACAGCTGCTGTCTCTGCTCCACCTTCAAAAGGAGACGTTTCAAGAGGTACAAATGGTGGCGTATTTTCTTCTGTGAGGGAGGCAAAGGAGGTAGAAGGAGACATTCAAAAATATTGTTAGGGAGATATAAAAACTCATCCAGAGTCAGATTCGTACTGCAAAAGCAGTTCCTGAAGATGAGAGTTGAGATTTGTCTGGGGAAAAGGATATCATGTCTTACCTGATAAGATATCTGGAGGTCGAACCTCCCAGGAAATCCTCCTTGGCTTTGGATGGTCCCCATCTACTTCAACAGGTGTTTCCTGCATGGAAATATCAACAAGAAGGATTAGCATGTAGCACAGGGGTGTCAAACTCAAGGCCCATGGGCCAGGTCTGCTTAGATCTGGCCCGCAGGACCGCCCTGGAAACAGCAAAGGACCGGGCCACGGTGCCTCTGCCAGCAAAAATGGAGCTCAGGAGAGCCCCACATGCCCCTTCCAGGCTCCATATTCGGCTGTGACGGCCTCCTACAGCCCTCTGCCAATGAAAATGGAGCTTGAGGGTGGGGCATTTTCACTGGCAGAGGGCTGCAGGAGGCTGTCACGGCCGAAAATGGAGCCTCAATGACTGTTGTCAAGCTGGCCACATGCCCCTGGCCATGCCCCCCCCCACAGTCCCCGAGGTCAATCACAACTCTGATGTGGCCCTCAATGAAATCAAGTTTGACACCCCTGATATAGCACATAGGAACAAACACACTCTCGTCTTCTACTACAAAAACCCATCCCATGATCTAGAAAATCCCATAAACTAGAAAGAATGCAAAGTGTGACAAAGAGGATTAGGGGCCTGCAGGCTAAAATAGATGAAGAACGGTTGCAGGAAATGGGTATAGCTCAGGAGTGGGCAAATGTGGCTCTTTTACAACCTGTGGACTTCAACTCCCAGAATTCCTAAACTCCCTTCAACTCCCAGAATTCCTATGCACTGATATTACCTAGTCAGGGTAATGAAATGTCTGCAAGAAAACAAGCAAGCTCAAAGAGCACCAAGGGCCCCTCTGTTGTGACCTAAGCTTACTGAGTCATTACAAGACACAATTAGTCCCAAATAATCCTATTTTATTGTAAGAGCTGAGAATTACATTCATTCTCAGCTGAGTCCCAATTAGTTGCAACAAAAGTCCTTCGGGATAATCACCAAGCTTTATCTTCTTTGACACCCTGCCAAAGGCCTTACTTGGCAAAGCCCCACGAAGATCAGAAACAAACAAGAGATGCCAACTGGAAACAGAGTTAGCAATGTTGCTTTCCTGCAAAAAGGCCCAAGTGCCTTTGTTTCTCTTTTAAGACTTATAGGAGGGGCCAATCATCTCTTGGCCTTACTCCCGAGTCGTCCCTTTTGCTTTAGCTGCTCTTGCCTTCTGGCAGCTCTATGCATGCGTGCACTAGGAACAGGCTCCTCCTGTTCCTCTGCCTCTCTGCTGTCCACCTCTGGAGCCCGCGCATCGCTCCCAGATGGCTCTGGCCCCATCTCTGTCTCCAACACAGAGCCCTCGTCCGGGCCTTCCCCAGATTCCAGGACTCGCTCATGTTCCTCCCCAGCCTCCTCACTGTCCGACTCTGCTGCCAGCTCCGTAGGCTGCTGGCGGACCCTCATTTCAACCCTAAACTACATATATTCTCCTTTATTCGATTTAAATATTCTCACCTGCTTCGGTTTGTCTTCCACCTGGCTCAGAAGGAAACCTTCTGCCAAGGCCACCGCCTGGGAACAGGTCTCTGCCCCGCATTCCCTGATCCAGCTCTCCATCTCTGGGGGCAGGACAGCCAGGAACTGCCCCAGGACCACCAAATCCAGCATCTTAGCTTTCGTGTTCTGTTCTGGCTTCAGCCATTGTTGGCAAAGTTGGTGGAGTTGACTGCAAACGTCACGGGGGCCCTTGGCCTCCTTGTAGCAGAATTCCCTGAAAAGCTGGTGCAGTTCAGTTGAAGCGAATGTGTCTTCTTCCAGACCCTCCTGCCCAGTTCTTTCACTTGCTTCCATGTGGGTCTCAACCTGAGCTGTAGGAAGGCATTTACCTGCTCCTGCCCCTCTTTGGTCTTTTGCATCCATCTCCTCTCTAGGTTATTGCACAGTTGAAAGCAGTTCTAAGAGAGCTCTCGGACCTCCAAAGTAGCTTTGTCTGAAAGAACCAGGCCTGGAGAAAAGTTGGAAGTATTACCATCAGGGCTGGATTCTAATTTTTTTTTACTACCGGCTTATTTTGTGGGCGTGGCTTGGTGGGGGTAATGTGACTGGGTGGGCGTGGCCAACTTTTTTTTTTTTTTTTTACTTTTAAAAGCATTTTTTCTACAACCTTAAGAAGTTGCAGAAAAAAATGCTTTTAGAAGCCTCTGACGATCAGGCAACTCAGCTGGGATCGCCAGAGGCTTTTAAAGGCATTTTTTTTCCTACAACCTCTTCAGCCAAAGAGGTTGTAGAAAAAATGCTTTTAAAAGTTAAAAAAAAAAAGCCTCTGATGAGGTGGGCGAGTTAAGAGAGCGGCGACCGGGCCGGAGACCGGTTTGGGGGCGTGGCCAGCCAATGTTGGACCCGGCAGTATTAGCCAACTACCATCCTGTCTCCAACCTTCACTTTGTGGCGAAGGTTGTTGAGAGTGTGGTCGCGCGACAGTTTCCACAATTCCTGGAGGAAACACGAGCTGTCTGCCATTACTGTAAGGTTGAATCTCACCAACTAACTGTCAGGAAATTTCTCCTTAGTTCTAGGTTACTTCTCTCGTGTTACCTCTAGTCCTTCTTTTCCCTAGACTAGACCTACCCAATTCCAGCAACCTGTTCTTTATATGTTTTGGTCCTAGTTCCCTAATCATCTTTAATTAGGGGACTGGAGGCAAAGAATCGAATCAAATAGAATAGAATAGAATAGAATAGAATAGAATAGAATAGAATAGAATAGAATAGAATAGAATAGAATAGAATAGAATAGAATAGAATAGAATAGAATAGAATAGAATAGAATAGAATAGAATAGAGTGTGATTGGACACACAAGGAATTTGTCTTAGGTGTATATGCTCTCAGTGTACATAAGGAGAATAAAATACATTCATCAAGAATAAAAAGATACAACACTTAGTGATAGTCAAGGTTATTAATAAGCTATCAAATCATACTAGGAAAGAAATAAAAACAATATAATTGAAAGATACAAATAAAAACAATATAATTGAAAGATACAAGCAATATGGCTATAGTAATAAGTGGGAAGAGATAATACTAGTACGGAAGAGAATAATAATAGTAATACAGTCTTAGTAAATTATTTGACAGTGTTTTGGGAATTAGTTGTTAAAGCAGAGTGATGGTATTCGGGGGTAAAACTGTCCTTGTGTCTAGTTGTTTTGGTGTGCAGTGCTCTATAGCGTCTTTTTGAGGGTAGAAATTGGAACAATTTATGTCTAGGATGTGAGGGGTCTGTAAATATTTTCCTAGCCCTCTTTTTGACTCGTGCGGTATACCCGTCCTCAATGGAAGGCAGGTTGGTAGCAATTGTTTTTTCTGCAGTTCTCATTATCCCTTGAAGTCTGTGTTTGTTCTGTTTGGTTGCAAGGGGATCTAAATTCCATCATTTTAGAGTAGGATGCTACGGAAGCATTTTTCAACTCTCCAAAATCACCCCGATTCCCTCCCCTAAGGCTTTCGTGCTCGCCTCTGGCAACTTTCCAGCGCGGAAATGTCTCTTCTTGCAGCTCAAACTTACCCCTCTCTCCGGAGTCCCCCAAGACAGGAAGGGGACAAGCTTTCCCAGATCAGCCCCTTGGTTTTCCCAGGACTGCAGGCATGAGATCTCTCTTGCAAGCAAGGAAGGGGAGAATAAGGTGATGCCACTGTCTCCTGCTTTAGGAAGCTCTGCATGCATATATGCCCATCACTTCTACGCCCCTTCAGGATAAGCAGCGTTGCACAGTGTGCCGCCTCTGTTATTATTGTTATTGGTAGCAGCCATACTTTTGCGCTTTATGAGAAGCAATTTATCTCTATCGTCTATGTAAGGGTTAAAGAAAGAGGTTGTGCTATTTCCTAGAGTGGCAAAGATTCTGGGCAAGGAGCTAAAGAGCTGCCATGACTGATCCAATGATGTGCTTTTATGAGGCTGGGAGCCGCTAGGTGCACAAGGTGCCACCTGGTGGCTGTTTCCTGAAGGATTTGAATATTCTGAGCGAGGATATACCTAGAATCAGAAGAGCTTAGGGCTGGAAGGAACCTCAGAGGTCTTCTAGTCGAACCCCTGCCCAGATCAGGAGGCCTTATTGCATCGGGGAGAAATGGCTGTCCAATCTTTTTATTTTAAGACCTCCAGTGATGGAGCACCCACAGCTTGGGTCCAGGAACCAAGCTGTTCCATTGGTCAAGGGTTCTTCTCACTGTCCAGGAAATTTCTCCTTACTTCCAGATTGGATCTCTCTTTAATGAGCTTCCATCCATTGCTTCTTGTCCTGCCCTCGGGTGCTTTGGAGAATAAGTTTCTGTGCTTGAAACCAAGAAAACAAAAACGACAAGGAAAAGATCTCTAAGCAAGTGGCCTATTTCAAATGCTGGGATTGGTTGGTTGATTATAGGTATGCCATCAAGTTGTTGTGGATTCTTAACAGTGACGTAGATTTTCTTCATGTCATTTATTTTATATATATATATATATATATATATATATATAATGTTATTTTATATAGAGAGATCAGAGAGAGGGGGAGGGCAGGGGGAGGGAGGGAGAGAGAGAGAGTACAGTTCAATCCTGAGCTACAAATATTCCCTTTGATGAAAGGATGGATGGATGGAAAGACGATAAAAAAAATAGATAAGGATGGATAAGGATGGATAGGTAGATAGACAGGTAAAGATAGGTAGGTAAGTAGCAGGTAGGTAGGTAGGTAGGTAGGTAGATAGATAAATGAATAGAATAGAATAGAATAGAATAGAATAGAATAGAATAGAATAGAATAGAATAGAATAGAATAGAATAGAATAGAATAGAATAGAATAGAATAGAATAGAATTTTATTGGCCAAGTGTGATTGGGCACACAAGGAATTTGTCTTGGTAGATAGATAGATAAATGAATAGAATAGAATAGAATAGAATAGAATAGAATAGAATAGAATAGAATAGAATAGAATAGAATAGAATAGAATAGAATAGAATTTTGGAGTAAAATAGAATAGAATTTTGGAATAGAGCCTTGGTAGTACAGTGGTCTAAGGCACCCTGTTATTAAGCTGGTTATTAAGACCAGCTGCCTGCAATTACTGCAGGTTCAAATCTCGCCAAGGCTCAAGGTGGACTCAGCCTTCCATCCTTTCTAAGGTAGGTAAATTGAGGACCCAGTTGTGGGGGCAATAAGTAGACTTTGTATAAATATACAAAAGGATGAAGGCTATTGCTGAGCACATTGTAAACCGCCCTGAGTCTCCGGAGAAGGGCGGCATATAAATCAAATTTAAAAAAAAAATTATTGGCCAAGTGTGATTGGGCAAACAAGGAATTTGTCTTGGTAGATAGATAAATAGATAAATGAATAGAATAGAATAGAATAGAATAGAATAGAATAGAATAGAATAGAATAGAATAGAATAGAATAGAATTTTATTGGCCAAGTGTGATTGGACACACAAGGAATTTGTCTTGATAGATAGATAGATAGATAGATAGATAGATAGATAGATAGATAGATAGATAGATAGATAGATAGATAGATGTAGAGATAGAAATATAGATAAAAAGAGACAGTGATAGATGATAGATAGATTTGAGTATATAATCAACTCAAATTTGTCCTTTCATATCCACGTCCTCAGCACGCAAAGGAAAAATACTGGAATAGGAGAAAGTTTGTTATCTTTGCAGACGATGCTTGAGTTAAGCAAAAGTAAGGATATTTTATTTAAGAATAGTCCGCAGAACACAGTGCTGACCTGGCTCCTGCTCCCCTTGGCCCCCTTTCCCCCCCCCCCACTTTGGAAAGCAGTGAGATTGCTTAAACAAGCCATCTCGCCCTCAGCAAGTCCTCCCCCCCCACCAGGTCTGGTGCCTCCCTAATAAGCGTTATCCAATCTGTAACCATAATTAGTTAATTAGTGGCCTCTGGCGCCGGCTTGTGCTGCTTCCTGAAATTCATAAAATCCCTGCCTTGACTTTGACAAATTAACAGCTGGCGTGCAGCTCACAGCCCCAAGCGCTCTTCAAACCCTCTCAATGTGAATTCCCTGCAGGGCGTGTCTATTTACTGCCTTGTATTCTCTTCCTTCCCAACGAATGTAAAGACAAACTTTAATTTTCCTTCCTTGTTAATCACCCACGTTTTCAAAAGGGGGAGGGGGGTCGGTAAGATTTAACCCCCCCTGAATTGATTTCCTTTTGAGTCACCTCTCGCCTTGACTACTGCAATGCTCTCTACATGGGGCTCCCCTTGAAGAGCACCCGGAAGCTCCAACTGCTCCAGAATGCAGCAGCGCGGGTAGTGATGGGAGCAACATGGCACTCCCATGTAACACCGCTCCTGCGCGAGCTGCACTGGCTCCCGGTGGTCTTCCGGGTGCGCTTCAAGGTGTTGGTTGTCACCTTTAAAGCGCTCCATGGCATAGGGCCTAGCTATCTTCGAGACCGCCTGCTGCTACCGACGACCTCCCAGCGACCCGTGCGCTCCTACAGAGAGGGCCTCCTTGGGGTGCCATCAGCCAAACAATGTAGGCTGGCGACCCCCAGGGGGAGGGCCTTCTCTGTGGGGGCTCCTACCCTCTGGAATCAGTTGCCCCCTGAGATAAGGAGAATCCATGACCTCAATGCCTTCTGTCGTGCCCTTAAAACCCATCTTTTCCAGCAAGCCGGGCTGGCTTAAGAAGAAATTTTTATATTCTTTTAATCAGTTTGTGATTTCTTAACTTTCGGGCCAAATTTATATATATTTTTAACTGTTTTTAATATTTGTATTCTATGTTATCTTGGCTGTACACCGCCCTGAGTCCTCAGGGAAAAGGGCAGTATATAAATTGGAAATTAAATTAAATTAAATTAAATTAAATTAAATTAAATTAAATTAAATTAAATTAAATTAAATTAAATTAAATTAAATTAAATTAAATTAAATTAAATTAAATTAAATTCTGGAGATCATTCTCCACACTTAGGGTCACTGTGATAGATGGAGGAAGGAACCCCTTGGTGCTGTGAGTACATACAAACACACTTTTTTTTTAAAAAAAAATGACCTTAAAAGTTTATTGCTGTCCAGGAATCTTGCTTGAAGTTCTTGTTCTTGGGAGATCTAAATTAAGCATCAGCATACAAATCAGCAACACTTGTCAAGTGAGTTACAGAATTACAAAATAACTGAGTTGGAAGGGACCTTGGAGGTCTTCTAGTAGTGCAACTCCCTGCTCAAGCAGGAAATCCTATACCCATGATGGCAAACCTATGGCACGCGTGCCACAGGTGGCATGCATAGCCATATCAGTGGGCACGCCAGCTCAGCTCTGGCGCGCATGTGCGTGCCGGCCACCTGATTTTCAGGCCTTTTGGGACCACCAGAAGTAGGGAAACATGCTGTCTTCTGCCTCCGGAGGGCCTGTGGGTAGGTGGGGAAGGCTATTTTCGCCCTCCCCAGATGCATAGAGAGGATCTGGAGCCAGGTGACAAAGAAAAACGGGCCAGGAGCAAGGGGGGAGGGGAGGTTGGGCGCGCATGCACAGGGCGGGGTGCATAAAATTATGGATGTGGGCACGTGCGTGCGCGAACCTCCCCTGCCCCCCCCTCCTTCCTGGCACGCGATGGCAAAAAGGTTAGCCATCACTGTCCTATACCATTTCAGACAAATGGCTGTCCAATTCGAATCCAGTTCAAATCTTTATTGTCAGCGCACAACATATGTACAATGAGATTGGCTGAGCTCCCTCGGTGCACCCCCCCCAACACAATACACCTCAGAGTGGAAACAGAAAATCCCTAACCCAATAAATCATATTAACAAAACACCCAGTCCTATTGCACCAGTGTGAACATGTTACACATTGCGCCAGCCCGGCAGCCCATCATACTACGTAGTTATGATGTTATTTCTCATTCAGGAGTCTGACAGCCCACGGATAAAAACTGTTCTTCAGCCTGTTCCTGCAACTGGCTATGCTTCTATATCTCCTTCCCGATGGTAGGAGGGTAAAGAAGGAGTAACCAGGGTGAGAGTTGTCCCCGAGAATTCCCAGTACCTTCTTGAAAATTTCCAATGATGAAGCACCCACCATTTCTGAAGGCAAGCTGTTGGTTATTCTCATTGTCGGGAAATTTCTCCTTAGTTCTAAGTTGCTTCCCTCCTTAGTTTCCATCCATTGTTCCTTGTCTGGCCTTCCTTCGGGTGCTTTGGTAAATAAATTGCCCCCCTCCCAGTGGTGGGTTCCTCCCGGTTCAGCCCGGTTCTCCCGAGCCAGTAGCGGTGACGTTATGACATCACTGAACCGGTTCTGCCCCCCCCCACTCCCCCACCCCCAGTGTTATTCTTACCTTTTATTTGGCCCCACCCCCAATCTATTGCTGCTTCCTGAGTCCTAGCTGATGGCTAGAGGGAAAAAAACTGTTTAAACTCTTGCCGCAGGGTTTCAACGGGCCGCCCGCCCTACAGCTGATCAGTGTTAAAAGAAAACAAATTAGTAGACCGGTGCCTGCAAAAATACATGAGTAGATCAGTGCCTGCAAAAATAAATGGGTAGATCAGTGCCTGCAAAAATACATGAGTAGATCAGTGCCTGCAAAAATACATGAGTAGATCAGTGCCTGCAAAAATAAATGGGTAGACCAGTGCCTGCAAAAATACATGAGTAGATCAGTGCCTGCAAAAATAAATGGGTAGACCAGTGCCTGCAAAAATACATGAGTAGATCAGTGCCTGCAAAAATACATGAGTAGATCAGTGCCTGCAAAAATAAATGGGTAGACCAGTGCCTGCAAAAATACATGAGTAGATCAGTGCCTGCAAAAATAAATGGGTAGACCAGTGCCTGCAAAAATACATGAGTAGATCAGTGCCTGCAAAAATAAATGGGTAGACCAGTGCCTGCAAAAATACATGAGTAGATCAGTGCCTGCAAAAATACATGAGTAGATCAGTGCCTGCAAAAATACATGAGTAGATCAGTGCCTGCAAAAATAAATGGGTAGATCAGTGCCTGCAAAAATACATGAGTAGATCAGTGCCTGCAAAAATACATGAGTAGATCAGTGCCTGCAAAAATAAATGGGTAGACCAGTGCCTGCAAAAATACATGAGTAGATCAGTGCCTGCAAAAATAAATGGGTAGACCAGTGCCTGCAAAAATACATGAGTAGATCAGTGCCTGCAAAAATACATGAGTAGATCAGTGCCTGCAAAAATACATGAGTAGATCAGTGCCTGCAAAAATAAATGGGTAGACCAGTGCCTGCAAAAATACATGAGTAGATCAGTGCCTGCAAAAATACATGAGTAGATCAGTGCCTGCAAAAATAAATGGGTAGACCAGTGCCTGCAAAAATACATGAGTAGATCAGTGCCTGCAAAAATAAATGGGTAGATCGGTACAGCTCTGCAAGCAGTTAAAAGCCTGATAGACCAGTACCTCTGCTAAATCCTAAATAATTGTCACATGGCCATCAAGCCACGCCCACAAAATAAACCACGCCCACAGAACTGGTAGTAAAACAAAGTAGAACCCACCCCTGCCCCCTCCCCCTTCTGTGTGACAGCCCCTCAAATATTTGAAAACTGCTCTCGTGTCACCCTGATTCTTCTCTAGAATAGAATGGAAGAATGAGAATGAGAATGAGAATAGGAATAGGAAAGGATAGAATAGAATAGAATAGAATAGAATAGAATAGAATAGAATAGAATAGAATAGAATAGAATAGAATAGAATAGAATAGAATAGAATAGACAGAGTTGGAAGGGACCTTAGAGGTCTTTTAGTCCAACCTCTTGCAGGCAGGAGACTCTATACTATTTCAGATCGGTCGCTGTCCACTCTCTTCTTAAAAGCTTCCGGGAATGGAGCATCCACCACTTCTGTAGGCAAGCCAGTTCTACTGATTGATTGATTGATTGATTGAGATCAATAAGTATCCAATCTCTTCTTTAAAACTTCCAGTGTTGGAGGATTAATTGTTTTAACTGTCAGGACATTTCTCCTTGGTTCTAGGTTGCTTCTCTCCTTGATTAGTTTCCATCCAGTTGCTTCTTGTCCTACCTTTGGATGCTTTGGAGCAGGGGTCTCCAACCTTGGCAACTTTAAGCCTGGCGGACTTCAACTCCCAGAATTCCCCAGCCTGGCGGACTTCAACTCCCAGAATTCCCCAGCTGGCTGGGGAATTCTGGGAGTTGAAGTCCGCCAGGCTTAAAGTTGCCAAGGTTGGAGAGCCCTGCTTTGGAGAATAGGTTGACTCCCTCTTCTTCGTGTCAGTCCCTCAGATATTGGAACATTGCTATCATGTCACCCCTGGTCTTTCTCCTCACTAGACTAGCCATGTCCCACTTGCCATGCCCCACTTGTAAGAATCTCTCTCCCCCCCCCATTTCTACTCCCACCCCCATCCCAAGCATCACTTCTCCCTCTTGCAGTGGCTATCCGCCCCCCCACCCCCCAAAAAAGGAAGCTCCCAGCTTGTCGGGTGATGGAGGAGCCATGCAGGGTCAAAAAAAGCCTTGATGGCTCTTCCATCACCTCCTCATCATCATCATCATCCTCATCATCATCATCCAATAGGGTGGCTGGCAGCCTCTGCCTTCTTCGCCATAACTCCGAGCCCTTCCTCGGCCGTTAAGCGGATCCCACTTTCTTTCTTTTGCAAGTGTGATGGAGGAGCATCACAGCCATGCAGGGTCAAAAAAAGCCTTGATGGCTATTCCACCACTATCAGCACCACCTCCTCCTCCTCTTCATCATCATCATCATCATCATGCAATAAGGTGGCCGGCAGCCTCTGCCTTCATCTTCATCATCATCATCATCATCATCATCATGCAATAAGGTGGCCGGCAGTCTCTGCCTTCATCATCATCATCATCATCATCATGCAACAGGGTGGCCGGCAGCCTCTGCCTTCTTCGCCATAACTCCGAGCCCTTCCTCGGTCGTTAAGCGGATCCCACTTGCTTTCTTTTGCCCGTGTGACTCCTCCCGGGGGATTTCCCTCGCTCTCTCCTGGCGTCCCCCAAGAGCAGCGGCGGGCGTGGAGACGCCAAGGAGGAACCTCCGTCGGGCTCAGCATTCCGCCGAGGGGACTCCCACCCGCCGCCGCTGCTGCAGACCTGGAAAGAGTTAAAAAGTATGGAAAAAGAATTCCTAGAGCGGAAGGAAATCAGGTCCTCCCGCAATCAGGGCGTCTTTCGGGTCGGAACGGCCGCTCTGGCTGCTGCCGCCGCCTTGGTGTTTCTGCGGGGACCCGGTGGGCGACCGATCTGGGCGGAGATCGACTCGGAGAAGCGCAGAGAGGCACCCTGGGATGATTCTCCGCCTTCGGAGCTACTCAAGCCGCCGCCTCCGGGGGTTGGACTAGAAGACCTCCAAGGTCCCTTCCAGCTGTGTTCTGGTTGGTTGGTTGGTTCGTTGGTTGGTTGATGGGTGGGTTGATTGGTTGATTATTTGATTGGTGGGTTAATTGATTGATGGGTTGATTGATTGGTGGGTTAATTGATTTGGTGGGTTGATAGATTGGTGGGTTGATTGATTGGTGGGTTAATTGATTGGTGGATGGGTGGATTGATTGGTGGGTTGATTGATTGGTGGGTTAATTGATTGGTGGGTTGATTGATAGATTGGTGGGTTGATTGATTGATTGGTGGGTTAATTGATTGGTGGATGGGTGGATTGATTGATGGGTTGATTGATTGGTGGGTTAATTGATTTGGTGGGTTGATTGATAGATTGGTGGGTTGATTGATTGATTGGTGGGTTAATTGATTGGTGGATTGGTGCGTTGATTGATTTGTGGGTTGATTGATAGATTGATGGGTTGATTGGTGGGTTGATTGATTGGTGGGTTAATTGATTTGGTGGGTTGATTGATAGATTGGTGGGTTGATTGATTGATTGATTGATTGGTGGGTTAATTGATTGGTGGATGGGTGGATTGATTGGTGCGTTGATTGATTGGTGGGTTAATTGATTGGTGGATTGATTGATTGATTGATTGATTGGGACACTCAGGATTCCCCAGCTTTTCCTCCCGGGGCTTTTCCAAGTGCTGATGGAGCTCTGCAGGACTGGATTGTTTTGCCTCTCTCAAGGATA